AGAGACCGGTTTGTAACTGTATGTGGTGACACGCGTTTTCTTCGCCTGATGTTAAATGCTCGTGTTTGGAGACCCGAGGAAAAGAGATTCACCGAATGTGCAACAACTCCATATCCGCACAAACAAAGTTCCACCAACTCCCATCGCGAATGCCATTCCCACCCTGACCAAAATGAGTGCAAAATCCCATCCCAACTCGTCACCTTGTCAGTCATCCCACAATAGGTAACTGCCAGAATACCTCTCTCCTGCAACGTGGGGGGGGGGGGGGGGGATGTTATTTTAGTGTGAATTTTTTTTTGGAATGCGACAATTATATTAAAGCAGCGAGTAAAGCAACCGTATGGCAGGAGAGCAAACGATCCATTTCTATCGTCAACCGTTGTTTTGGGGTGTTCATAACGCTCCTTCTTTGTGGGGGGAGAGAGAGAGAAAAAAAGTGTAGTTGTTTTCTAGTTTCGAGTTGAACGCAGGCACCGATTTGCTTTGACTGCAGCTTTCGGCTTTCACCCCGAAAGGTTGGATGCTCGACTCTGTCTCAGTAAGCGATGTTCTTGCACATCGTCTGCGAACCGGGATGAGCGTCTTTTTAGTTGCCCGGTTTGGACCGAAAGGGGTATTTATAAAAGAGTGTGTGTATGTATGTATATGTGTGTGTGTGTATATATATATATATATATACAATTTATATTGGTGTATTTTATTAAAACGAGGGGAAGAATCATCGCGCTTTCACAGTTCTCTCCCATTCTCAGTGCGATGCTCGGCTTTATTTAAGGGCGAAATTTAAAGGCATTTAGAGAATAACCCAGCATTAAAGTTATATGTGGGGGTCGGGTGTGGGGGTCGGGTGTGTGTGTGGGGGGGGTGGAGGGGGGGCTTAACACAGTACAGTTTGTTACTTTGTTCTCCTATATCTTGCTGTGATTCGCGAGGTGTGCGAGTTTTAAATCGCAATTAAATTGAAACAACAGTGAAGAATTCCTACCAAAAAAAAAGCTACTCACCCACCCACCCATGTCCAACACGCTACATGACCCGACCCGTCCCACGACCCCCACCCCACCACCACCACCACCACCACCCAAAAGTTGTGGGTTCGAACAGAAGTTTTCTTATGAAACGAAGGGAAAGGCCGACAGTTTTGTGCGCAACCCCTGATCACAATCCTGCTCTGAGGAGTAATCAAACAAAGTTGCTTGTCGGAGGCGACATCTTTAAGCGCATTTTTACACGTGTTCCATCTCTAACAAGACCCCGGCGTGAGAAGATGTAACAGTGCACACGCACACACGCACACACACGCACTCACACACAGTCCCGCATTTGCATTGAATTGCCCGTTAGATTGCAATGTACGCGTAACCCATCCGCGCTTCTCAATCGATATCTAAAATACTGCCACTATCATTAATTCTGCGTCTGCACAGCGATTTGTCTTCGGTCCTCCTGGTGTCTGATACACGCGGAAAACCATCACCGTGTTTAAGAGTACCCCCCAAACCCTACTAAACTGAGAATTCCGTGCATCTCACCCACAAATGCAGATTCCAGACACAGTGTTGTCCAGGGGTGGGGTGGGGGTGGGGGAGATGATGGATTTGTGTGAGCAATTTTTTTTTTTTGCATTTACCGGCTCACTTCCCAGTTACGTCAAACTTCTTCTGTCACCGGGAGAGTGCGGCAGAAAAAGTTTTTATGTATGTTGCTGTTTGTGGGATTTTTTTTTGTGCGGGTGATCAGAATCGAGGGTGGGGGGGGAGGGGGGGGGATTTATTCGCATTCGTGAAGTTGGATCAGTGCATTTTCGTCAGCATTTATTTGACACGATGCGGGTTTGGCAGTTGCTTGCGCTGTGTAGATAGATATATGTGATCCTTCGTATGTCATTTCAGGTATAAACCATTGCTTTGTGTGTGTGTGTGTGTGTATCCGCGCATCCTTTAAAGTTCCTCTATTCATTTGTACAATGCATCTCTCAGCTTTGCTATGTTTTTGGTCAGTCGGATGTCTGATACATGCGGAAACCCACCAGCTGCAGCCTGGTCTGTTTGCACACCGGGTTAATAGCGCTGATAGTCAGTTTGCATGAAGCTCTCTGGCTATCCACACTGCAAAGTGCATTACTTTGAACGGACGGGGCAGTGAATGTTTAGTTTAATACTGTACAACAACATTAAAACACTGAGACGCTGATACACTGTGCAGACAGATAACACGTATTATCTGGGTGGGGGGGGGTGGGGGGGACATAAGAGCTCCCGGGTCCCGCTTCCTGCCACTAAACTTACGTTTTGCAATCGGAGTTGGCTTTGGGGCTTTCTTAGAGAAATAAAGCATAGACAGTACTGGACTTGCACCGGGTTAGGTCGCTTGCGGAGATTGACTGTGGTGCGAGACCGGCAAAGCAAGGGTTAAAATGCTGAGTTGGAGAGATGTTGCGCTCTCTCTCTCTCTCTCTCCATATACACACAGAATAGCAGTGAAAATGTGCATCGGGTACCTCACAGGAGCGGCGGTGCGTGTTGCTCAGTGTTGGGGGAGGGGGGGGTTCTCGGGGCTTGTTGTAGGGGAGTCCCAAACCGCATGTTCCTGGTCGGTCGGTCGGTCGGTTGATAATATCGGTGACATCCCGAGGCACTGAGCCCGGCAGAGCCTCTCTCTCTCTCTCTCACACACACACACACACACACACAGCAGACCCTTCAGAGAAGCCAGAGAGAGAGAGACTGCTGGATGGAGTATATCAGTGCGCTGACTGTACGCTACGGGAGATGGATTTTGATTAAGTTCAGTCTTATCGACATACAGAATGAATGAGGAAATGTAATGCCACGGCTGCCTTTTTGTGTGTGTGTGTGTGTGTGTGTGTGTTTGAGGGGGGGAGGGGGTGAGGGGTGAGATAGAGAGAGGGGTGAAGGGGGTTGTAGAATTCAATACAATGATGTGTGTGTGTGTGTGTGTGTGTGTTTAAATGCCCATCTTTGAGGTAGAGACAGACGCGTGTTGAAGTATCCCATTAAGAGATATAAAACTTGGTTGGGTTTTTGATGCGTTGCATCGCACAGTACAGCAGTGGGTTTCCGCAAAGTTGGGATATTGCTATCTGTCTTTCGACGTGATTGCATATAACATATATACACACACTGTGCGTGCGATTGTGTGTGTGTGTGTGTGATATATAAATATGTGTGTGTGTATATATATATATATATGCGTGTGTGTGTGTGTGTGTATCGATTTGCCCAGTTGCAAGCGATCTCTTCCCCTTTCGCCTCACTCTCCTCTGTGTGTGTGTGTGTGTGTGTGTGTCTCTCTCTCTCTCTCTCTCTCTCTCGCTTTCTCGCCGGCCCTCAGCGCTGCAGACAACACACATCAAGGCTGGTTTGCGGAGAGGGGGGAGCTGTGAGATCAATGTCCTGGCCATTCACTTTCTGATGTTGCACGACGGGAAATGCTTTGAATAGTTGCGACATGGCCGCTGAAATTGATTGCCAAGATTGACAGCACTAACCATCGCCTTCACTTGTCTGAGAGAGAGAGAGAGAATAGCAATATTTTTCGGGAGCCCATCGGCAACTTCTGCAAACGATCCGGACCCTCCTCCCTCCCTCTCTCTCTCTCTCTCTCTCTCTCCCCCCCCCCCCCCCCGCCCTCTCCCCACACCCTCACCTCCCCGCCTCCATGGCCCGGGGAAGCTCCGGCTGACTTTAAGGCTCTTCGTTTGCAGCTCGTTTTTTTTTTAATTTTTTTTTATATATATACACACACACACACACACACACACATGTATATCAATTGTTTTTTTTCTATGTAAAAAAAAACACATCTTGAAAGGACACGGGATAGGAAGGAGCAGCGCTCTCTCTTCTCTGTCTCTCTCTCTAAGGTAAATGCATCCAAAAGCCCTATTGTTTGTAAATGTGCTTCTTGTTGTTGTTGTTGTTGTTGTTGTTGTGGGTGTGTTTGCAAGCGCAGCTTGTTGTGTGTTTTTTTTTGGGGGGGTGTGCGTGTGTGCTGAGCCGGGGAGGGTGGTGGCAACTTGGGGGTCTGTGTTTATGGTTAGAAGCTGATCACCCCCCACCCCCACCCCCCCCCCTATTCTCTCTCTCTCTCTCTCTCTCTGGGTTTCTCGCGATCTGCTTAGGGTCAGTTTATGTTTAAAGGACGTAGCGACCAGAGGTGGCTCTGTTCCCCTTGTTAATTCTCTCGCGTGAAACCCATCGGGCGGCAATGCAGTTGGAAACCTTCCTCTCTCCCATACCCGGCGTACTTTATATATAATATAACGCGTAAAGCCACCTCGCCCGCGATTTACCTCTCGCTCCCCCTCACCCCGTTAAATCGCTGGACGCGAGAACCGCACGGAGTTTGACCTGTGTGTTGTTGTGGGGGCGGTTGTGCGTGGAGGAGACAGAAAGAGGGTGGTGGGTGGTGGTGGTGGTGGTGGGTGGGTGGGTGGGGGGGTGGATGAGGAGAGAATAAATCAGGGCTCACTTCCCAAACACATGCCCAGGTCAGGGAGAATGCCAGCTTTCGCAAGATTTCAAGCAACACAACAATTCGCAGATTTGTTCACGAATTCACAATAACGCAGGAAGTTTAGTTAAAGTGTCTGAGTCGCTGTGTGTGTGTGTGTGTGTGTGTGTTTGTGTGTTTGTGTGTGGGTCTCTTTTTTGGCGTTTCTGTAAGAGGCGGTAATTTCGATTCCGTCCACACAGCGGTACTAGATATTGGTTTAAAACCGCGCAGTTGCACAAGCGTTACTGCGGGGATTGCATTACACACAAGTTGCAATATGGACTTTTAAATCGCCGCCCGATGCCAAACATTTAAAGCTTGTTTTAAGTTAGCAAAACGCTGCTAAAGTGTTGGTTGGCGCCTCGGCTCAGCCCCGAGATAATCGCTCCTCGGTCGCTTCTGCCAAAGGAGGAGATGAGAAGGGAGAGAGTGTGTGTGTAATGCGCGTGTGTGTGTAGGAGTGTGGTGGAGGGGGGGGGGGAGGGGGTCAGGCAAATTGACCTGAGAAGAATGCCCAAGCCCGTAAATTAAAATAAAACGCGCATCTAAGTGAGAGAGCCATAAGGAGGCAATACAAGGCTTTCAGTATAACAAGTTGGCTTGGCCGGGTCACCCACCTACTGCTGTCAGCGACCAGGGGGCGAACAAATGTGAGTGCTGTGGCCTTTGCTTTAACCCAACAGAAAAGGGGACAGAATAAGGCAACTTTTACAAACTACACACGCAAGTGCGGGGCACCAATCTTTTGCTTTGTATATTATATACAGATTTATATATATATATATATATATATATATATATCAAACCCCTTTCAAAGCGTAGCATTCCCGTTTGTGCATATATATATATATACACATACATACATACACAGCACAAAACAAGTTTATGCTTCGTCCACTTTATCAATCCATTTTTATTTAAAAAATAATTTTAAAAATAGAATATGCTATTTGTTTTGTTTGTAGCGCATCTTATTCTCGTTTCAACCCGAATTCTAAATTGAATTAATTACCGTATGCACTGAAAGATTATTTTTAAAAAAAAACTACTTCAAATGACTATTATTTAGAATTGTGATTAAAGTACCTTATTCTCTCCCCACCCCCCACCCCCCCACCGAAATATTGACAAAGCGATATGTCTATCCTACTGTCTTGACCATACACAGTATGAAGTGAAAGGAAGAGAGAGAGAGTGAACAGGACATTGCCTGTTTAACAGTCAGTCTGGGTCAGTCAGAAGCTATGATGTTATCGATCTGATAACTGACCTTCCTTCATTCACACTTTTTTTGGGAGGGGTGGGGGGGGGGGGGTAGCAGAAAGGGAATGAAAGGGATATTTGAAAAGACAATTCATGTTGTGTCTGTTCCATTTTCCCCTCTGGCGGGGGAGAGGGTGTGTGTGTGTGTGAGAATGGATGTGAAAGTTGTCTGGGGAGAAAAGATTAGCTCTTTCTGACTCCTGGGTCAGGGGTGTTTCCCAAAACCCGGAGTCAAAACTTTCACCAGAAATTTTAAAAAAAACTCGTATGTTGAGGGCAGATAAGCCGCGTGTTTAATTAACCCCCACCGATTCTGTTTCTTGTGAATTTTTTTTTTGCAAATCATCTAAATTTTTTTTTGGTGTCGTCTTTAAATGCGTACGCGCAGTTTTTGTGGAGTCCTCTTAATATATTGGTGATCTCCGCCCACCCCAAAGAAAACTTGCACATACTTAAAAGGAAAGCGTTAACAATTGCAATGATCGCACAGCACCTCTTTGTAGAAAGGCGAAACAAATGTTAGTGCGGGTACATAAGCCACTGTTAGCTTGAAAGCGAAAGCTCTCATTTGGGGCTGTATTTGGTGTGTTGATTTAGACCAGTTTAATAGGAGTGAACAATTAATTATTGTTTGCAAGTTTTTGCCTCTTGGCTTTTTTATTACGGTGCGAGTCGGGTGTTTAATTCGGGGGGGGACTGGACACACAATACAACAGTTGCATAAATACACGGAATGAAAAACTCCTTCGACGCTTTAACAGCTAAAGTCGCGCATTTTAAGGAAAGCGATATTGTCGTCAGATAGAGCTCCCGTGCAGATCGATCGATCAATCAATTGTGCAGGAACCGCTTTGCCGAGCTGGAAGTAAGTCTGGAAGCTGGTTTGTAAAACAATACGGCAGCAAGTCCCTGTGTTAGGGGAAAAGTTGATCTGGTAATGGCATTTTGTTTTGAACAGCTGTCTAGCTTGTTGTTAAAGTAACTTCCCTCATAAGGTATGAAGGCAGTGAAGCTGAAAGCAGGTCCAAATGGCACATTTATAATTAGACTGCAAATTCAGCAGATTGTGTCCATACTATAGGACTAAACTGCAGTGTCTGGGATCTCAATAGAGGCGTCTTAGAAAGAGACTCCACTCAGTCTTAAAGCAATTCTCTCTCACATTCTTCAACCCTTCCAGCCAAGCGCTGGGAACAGCAGGGGCACTTGATTAAGACAGTATATATTTCACATAATAAACACCTACAGAGGGAGCGAGCCCAGTCAACAGCAAGAGCAGCAGATTTAAAATTATTGATCGATAAAGTGCAAGTTTGAATGGGTCGTTCCTTTAGTTCTTATGTTCCACGCGACGTGATAAATCGCACTGTAATTTAAAACCATAACTTCACACGTTGGGGAACGAGTCTGCTTGTACCGATTTGACGCCCTTTATCAGAATGCCTGTTTCAAGTAAAGTTTGGAAATTATATTTCTCAGCATTAGATGAGCCAGTTTTTTTTTAAATGTGGTATCAATTGGAACACCAGTTCGCAATAAAACAACTGACATAAATATTGTACAAAAATATACATTAACACTGTGACTCTATAAACAGATTGTAGAAGCCAAGATAAACAGTGGTAGTGCTGAAATTATTTTTTGTGTGTATCTGTCTCTCTCTCTCTGTCTACTGGACACTGTATTAGTTAATATCTGCCGTCTTCTTGCCTCAATCAAGTTGAATGTTTTGATAATCTAATTTCAGATGCAATTGATATTGTTTTCTTTGAGATCCGTCGCTTGGCTTGCAACCATGTATAAGTACGTATAAATCAAAGCGGATCTAAAAATTTATGACAGCTTAATTTTCAGTCGCACTACAGTATTTAAACAACCTCTGTATTATTGTTTGGCTTGCAACCCTGTATAAGTCAGAGTAGATTTCAAAATCTGTGACATCTCAATTCTCAGTCGCACTATAATATCTAAATAACCTCTACATGAGTGAAAAGAGTTGCACCCACGATGGTGTCTTACTTATTCTGTGCCTCAAAAGAGAACGTGTTTATTTTATTGAAGACATTGATTCGAGTGGGGAGACCCTCGTTGGTAGGTTGGTTTCTAAGTGGGATCCTGCAGTCTGATACTCTCTCTGATATTATACAGGGTTGTGAAGTAAATGTCCTTTGAAAGGTGGAGAGATTTAAGGTGGCGTCAAACATTCTCAAACGATGTGCATTGTTTCAGAGTATTTATAATCCTTTTTCTAATAACAGCTCAAGTGCCACTTGTCCAAGCTATACAACTTTTGCATTCCAAAAGCTAATGTGAAAATCCTAAACTCTTGAGTATTATAATATATATTGTGTCTGTGTGAATTTCTACATATATAATTACTTTGAGCTTGAAATACAGGACATTTAACAACGTGTGGGGTTATGGTTTAAAAGCGTTCATTTGAAGATTTGCAATGGAATACGTATGCTTTCCCTTTTTTTAAAAAAAATGTTTGTTTCCAGATTTCAGCCTAGTGATATTTCAGCCTAGACATTTAAATAACCTCTACATTAGTGAAAAGAGTTGCACCCACGATGGTGTCTTGTCTTATTCTGTGCCTCTATCCCAGTGACTTGCTATAAATCAAAGCTTTACACTGATGTCCCGGACTTGTTAGGGTTTGACATATGCACTCAAGAGGGAAGGACAATGTCATCGAAATAGTGATCGTCTGTATCCACTTGTAAATGTTTCAGGGGCTGTCTTTAACTATAGACCTGCAGTTAGTTGACAGACTGGTAGAAAACTTAAGTTTCTTACTACTGATCATCGCACAGTGGATGTTGCGTTGAATCAAAATAATCCATATTTAAACTAATAAAATGTCATTTGATGGTGGCTCGCCACAAACCTCGTGGGAACTCAAGTAAATCCTGCGAAGCGCTTTAAGGCGTCCTCCCGAAGTCAAAGAAAGGCGGTGTGTCAGATGCAAGGATTATTATTTTATTATCATTATTATTCATAAACTTTTTTTTTAGAATTGAAACGACTCAACGATTGTTAGACTTTAATTTTTTTAAAAAAAAAATTCTGGGGGAGCGAAGCAAATCATTTCTTATGCAAAAAAAAAAACCCAAATCATTTATCCGGCCCCAAAATAATTAATAACAAATAATTTGTTCTGGCAAACTACCCAACGTGTCTTTCTTTGTTCGAGGGCAGGGGCCAATTGGGTGTTGAGCGCCGGACTTGACCGCTTCCCTATCCGCAGATCACACCAGCACTGGCGGGGTTAAGTGACTGTCCGCACCATTAGATAAATAAACTGGCCCAGGGAATGATCCAGACTGGTTGTGTAGCTGTATCCTCCTGACGTTATTACGGGTCAAACTTTGTCGACTTGCACGTTTCTTTTGCGGTGTTGCCTGTTAAAATATTTATCTAGTTTGAAATATTTTTTACCTTTTTGGTGGGCGATCGATGCAGTGACCCTTCTCCTGTCACTCCCTCCTCTTTTCCTCTGTCCCCCCCTTCTCTCTCTTCTCCCTCCCTCCTCCTTCCCCTCTCTTCCCCCCCCTCCGCCCTCTCCCCCCCCTCCGCCCTCTCCCCCCCCCTCCACCCTCTCCCCAGTCCCCCCACCCCCCACCCTCTGTGTCTCCCCCACTCCCCCTGTCTCTCCCCTACTCCCCCTCTCTCTCTCCCCACCCCTCCCTCTCTCTCCCTCCCAGCTGCCCCTCTCCCTCCCCCACTCCCCTCTCTCCCCACCCACCCCCTCTCTCCCCCCCCCTTCTCTCCCTCAGATTCCCCTCTGGGGTTGGGACGGGGAGCTGAAAGCAGCCCCCAGGTTGCAGCTATCACTGTCTTGAGAGTTCCAGGTGCGACCAGTTGTGTTTTTCACTGACACCTGGGGACATAGGAGTTTTGGTACATGTTATTTTTTCCCGTCCTGACCATTATGTCCGGGAGCAGCAAACGGGGAAAGGGGAGCACACAGAGAAGTGGTGAGAGAGAGAGAGATGTGGATTCAGTAAATGAAGGGGTGGTGGGGAGAGAAGTCAGGTGAGATGTTCTGTCCCCAAAAATAAGATGTTCAAAATGCAAACAGAATGAGTGAATGAAAAAGAGGAAAGAAAGATAGATAAAACGATCCCAGACGTAAAAATAAATAAAACCAAAACAGCGGCAGATAAAACTGGATGATTTTTTTTGGAAAAGAAAACTGTAGATATTAAATTAACCAGGGAGTAAAACAATTAGTTTACAAATAAAACGAGCCCAGGATTATGAAGTGAAATGCAATGGCATCGAAGTTTGCTTTGAAGTAAAGGAGAGGGAACGATTTACCGATAGGCAGATGAGAAAGAACTAAAGCAGAGCAGGAGGAGGGTGAGCTGGAGGTAGGTGGGTC